TGGTGAAGGGCCTGGAGCACAAGTGTGGTGAGGAACGGCTGAGGGAACTGGGGGGGGTTCGTCTCGAGAAGAGGAGGCTCAGGGGTGACCTTATCATTCTCTACAACTACCTGAAAGGAGGATGGAGCAAAGAGGTGGCTGGTCTCTTCCCCCAAGTAACAAGTGATAGGACAAGGTAACAGCCTCAAGCTGCCCCGGGGGAGGTTTAGATTGGCTATTAGGAACAATTTCTGCACCGAGAGGGTGCCTAGGTGTTGGAACAGGCTGCCCAGGGCCTGTTCCAGTCACCGTCCCTGGAAGTGTTCAAAAACCGTGTCGATGAGGCCCTTAGTGACATAGTTTAGTGGTGGACTTGTCAGCACTGGGGTAATGGTTGGGCTTGATGCTATTAAAGGTCTTTTCCAACCTAGGTGATTCTGTGATTTTGATTCCTGGCACTTTGCCTTGGTGGGCAGATGTGGAAGGGTGCAAGGTGAGCAAGGCGGTAGGAGAGCAGCTGGGGTAACACAGCGTTTCACACGTGTTTTGTTTTCCACCTCAGACCTCTATGTGTATTCTGCCTGTGTGCTTATAAAGGCTGAGCCTCACCTGGGCTGCAGAAGATGGAAGTTACCTTGGAAACCACAGCCAGCCCTTGATGGTTTCTAGACAGATTCCCCCAAGCTATGGGCTCTGTGCACACCAGCAGCTGGCCTGTCTCCTATTCCTGACGTTCCGTTGTGCCTCTCTGGAAACCATCAGCTTTGACTTACCCTCTCCTGGTGCTCTGGGGCAAACCCCAAGCAGCAGAAAGAATCATTACTCTTCCATGGCCTCAATGTATAAATGCTCTCCAGGCCTCCTGCATTTTAGCTTGATCAGATCAGCCTGTACAAAAGGTCGAGTGGACCCAGCCTGGTGCAGTGCCTGTCCCTGAGTGCAGGTGAGATGGGGACAGCCTGCCCTCTGCTGCTGCAGGCTGTGGGAAGGGACCTGCTTGTTCTCCCATAGCTTAGCGTGTATGGTCACACTGTGACTCCTCTGGGTCACAATGGGGAGAGCTGTGGAGGCTCTTCCAGGGCTCACACAAGTTAAGACATAGCAAAAAGTATTTGTTGATGTACATCAAGTGTTTTGTAGCAGCTCAGGCACTGGCTATTGTAGGGAGCAAGGTTCCTTGAAAGAGACAGCCACGAGAGGACAGAGAGAAGATGTAATTTGTCCTGAGGTTGGGAAGTTGTCTAACTCAAGGTCAGGTGTTAGCACAAGTGGCTACACCCCTATGAAGCAAAGCAAGTGATGTCAATGTTAAGTAGCTGAGAGCCTGGGCCAGCCACCTTCTTCTTTTTTTCTCCCTCTGAGGTCTGCTTATGAGACTTGCTTTTGAATATTTATGTTTAAATTGCTTATTTGGAAGAAGTCACAGCTGCAGCTGTTCCT